CTCTGGCTTGGGGGGGCACGTTGGGGCCTGTGCTAGGTGAGGGTGGTCGAAGGGGCTGTGAATGCCTTCCTCTCCCTGTGTGTGCTTGGAGTGGGGGGGCTTCCGAGCCTCTTGACCCCCCTGTGGGGGGAAGCTGTTGCCCCTTGAGGGCCTGTGGGGTTTGGGCCGCGTCGGCCCCCCGGTCCCTCGAGGACTCTGTGGTGCAAGACTGCTGCCAGTGACCTGCTGTAGCGGGAAACTCTGCCCCGCTGTTAGGGGTGCTGTGTCTCACTGCCCCCCATGCGTGTTTCAGGGTTGTAGGCTTGCGCGTTGTTATTGTTGAGCATGTTTCGAGGCTTGAGTCTACCTTCCTTTCCTTTCCTTCCTTCCTTCCTGGCCCACTATGAAAGGGAGCAGGAGCCTCTAGGGGCTGTGGGATTTTCCCCTAAGCAGGAGGAATCTTAGTCTGCCCCTGCTTGCAGCAACCTCTGCATTGTGACTTCCTGCTGTCTCTGCACCCCCCTCTCTGCACTGTCTTCTCAGTGACTTTTAGCTGTTCAGGAAAGGGGTAATAACAATACTAATAATCTTGGGAGGTTGCAAACACCTATTTGTAGGGAGAGTGTTTTGAGTTACTTTGCTAGGGTTGTTGTAAAACCAAGGCCTGTTGTAGCAGTAGGTTAAGGCTTAAGGCAGAAAAGTCAGCTGTGCTTTCTGTGCCCTTCTTATCTTCCCCTCAAAGTCACAGTCTTTGCTGGTCTTCTTGGCAATCATGAGCTGTTAGCTGGAAGGAGATGCTAATGAAAGACCAGGCAGTTGACACCTGTGTGTCCTTGTTCACCTCTGGGCCAGGTCTGTGAGAGTGCACTGCTGGGAATCACCTGGATTCATGGGTTGTAAGTATTTCTCCTCTTGGTTCATAGAAGCATTTTTAGTGATGTAGGCTTCCAAAAAGGGGACTGTTGGGCTCAAAAACTGTGGGCTAGTCTGTAAGCAAAGCTGCTCTTGTTTAAGTGGTGTCAGTCTTCAGACTGGATGTACACATGTCTTTAGTAGCAGCAGAACAATTTTATTTAGGGAAACAGTCATCTTTCACTAAAATAAATAGACTGGTACCATTTCCAACTTGTATGTACTTACATCGCTAAAAAGCACTCTTCTGCAAAGCAGCCTGTACAGCAATTACTTATAGTGCCCTGACTATGTTTTCTATAACAACACCCACATTAGAGGGTCTCTTACGAGCTGAACTTATAGCTGAAATGGAGTAGTTTTACTAGCTTATACTAGTTGTCCGTGAAACCCGTGTGGAAGACTGTGCACCAACTTATTTCAGCTTATCTTAAAGCAATTAACAACAGGTTGAAGCAGGTTATGCTTTAATAGAAATAGGTGTGGGCTGAGTTAGCTAAACTGCTGTGTGTTTTAAGACAGACTTACCTTATCTGCAGCATGTGAAATGCTTTTTGATCTCTTTCAAGTACTGTCTAGTGTTGAAGTGGATCTTTTCTTTGGGGCTTGAAAAGAATGACCTTCCTAGATAGGAATACACCCCATAGGTTTGGTTTTTGGAACTTTCTCATTTGTCATTGTTCTGTATGAAGTTAGGTGGACTTCAGTGGGCCCAGCCAAGCCACAGGTGTCTGCTTGGAAGAAGCTGGAGTCAAAAGGACCAAAACTATTGTATATGCACTACTCAACAGTGGTGAGAAGCAAGTTTTAGCAAACACATTTGAGCTATTAGATGTAGATTGCATGTAACTACAAGCAGGGAAAGTGTCAGGTTTTTCTCTGGAGTTGTTTTATGATGGTTCTCTGAGTGGAAGGCAATATACTAAGCCCCAAGACTTGGCTGGGGTGTGGCCTCATCTGCATCATTGGTCATAATTGTGCTAAAAGAAATATATGATCCAAGATCATCGTTAATGTGGCCAAGTTTGGATATGTGGAGTATAAAATGAATGAATTATAAAACACTTGGCTTCTTCTGTGACTGACATTAGCCTTACCTTACCTATGTGCAGCAGTAACCTTTTTTCCTGACCGCAAACTTATTTTTAACCATCAGAATTGAGAAACACTCTTACTTTAGTTGATTTAATAGTAAAGCTAGTATTACTTCAGTTTCTTGCTGTATCTTTGTAACACGCAAACGCAAGTCTTTAGCATGTTGTCTTGCCTCCTCAGAATCTGAGAGGTTTCCTAGCCACCTGCTTTTAGTTTTCTGTGAAGGATATTGTAGGGTTTTTTTGGTTGGTTGTTTTTTGGCAATCCGGTCTGTATTTACAGGTCATGAGAAGTAACAATCGTGTCTATCATTAGTTGATGCTTTCAATGCCAAGTGTGGGGCATGCTGGGATCTGTTTGTCACTTGACCTCATCTTGAACTCTTTACATGTATTCATCATAGGCAGCGAAGGGTTTAGCTTGCAGTATAACAGCGTAGTCAAAGGAAGCAGAGTATAAGTTTGTTTAAAAATAATGCTTCTAATTACACCTGATGTGCCTGAAAACGTGTAAGTAGAAAATCTGGGTTTAGAGAACGGTGAATAATACTTCACCCTTTGTAATGAATTTCACAGGACTTCAGTGGTGTACAACAGTTAACTAGACCTTAGCCTGCTTTTGCCGAAAGCTGTGACGGTGCTGGAGTACTGGCAAAGCAACTGGATGTAGTGATACTGTGTTAATAATTGCATCATGAAGTTGCAGTCCTGTTATGAAAGTCACTGCATGATCACAGCCCAACTCAATAGTCAATTAACTTGTGAAAGGAATTTGTGGAGCTCCTGAAATAGCATGTTCCTGTGCAGTCTCCTGGCTACCTGTTGTTGCCTTGGACAGCCTTGCTGCATGAGTTACCTACTCAGTAGCCTGCCAGTTCTGAAAAATCCTTGAATTGCAGCTTCCACGGCCCAGATTGATGCCATTTGCATTCTGATGAGCTGAGTTGCCTTCGGATGCTTATTTCCTACTGATGTCTGTACAGAGCAGCTAACACTCATAACGTAGGCAGCTCAGGTTAGGCGAAGCTAAACCTCAGTGCTCCTGGATAAACAGGGCATGCTTAAGGCTGGGGGAAGGGAAGGCAGCCACTGCTGCATGTAAGGAGGACCTGTAGGAGGGACTCCATCCAGCCTGCAGCACGCATGAATGCAGACTGGCAGAGGGAATATCCCAACGGCTGTTTTCTGAGATGAGAAATTCTCATGGCCGATCTCTATCGCGGAGCCTGGCACCTTGCTTTTCCTACCATGGGCAGGAAAAAGATGCTTGGGGGGCCACAACGGAGACGGAGCTCTGGGGGATGTATGTGTGATGTGAGGCCAAGGAGCAATGGTTTTCAGGGTCAAAGGATATCCAGCTTCCTGGAGAAGGGTATCACAAAAAGAGGCCAGTGTTTAGGAATGTGCCCTGTAGTCTCAGGCCCAGAAGTAGTCGGAAAAAAAAGTTGTTGCTTTTTAATCTCAACCTAGTTTGCTTGGGACACGTTGAGCCTGGTGAGTGAAATTAATTTGCAGCGACTGTGTGAACCGCAATGCGTTTGCAGGACTGTTGACCAAAATAGCTTAGGTTGTAATGTAGCAGAACCACGAAGGCAGAGTAAAGTGGGTTTTTACATGGGTGTGTTTCAGGAGTCTATTACAAGGAAATAATTACAGATGCTGAAAGCAGCAGAAATCCTAGGACATGCCTTCCCTGTGTCTGATTTCGTCAGCATTCATGACGGAGTTTCTCCTTTCCTCTCCAGTTCAAATTCTAATTTGTGGTCCTGATTTGTCCTTTTTTGATGGAACAGGACCCTGACCTGAATAGGGACCATGCTTCTGGTCCATGTATTCGCTTTTCAGAGCGTGTAATAGAGAGAAGACCCTTGATGAGGCTGCTGTTTCATGAGAGTGGGCATGAAATAATAGAAGCAAAATCAATGGCTGTAAATCTTAGAAGAGGCATTGAACACTGGTTGTAGTCACTGAAGTTCAACATGCAGTGGTTTCTTATGTAATGACTGGGGGATTATTTTTTCTGTCACTTTTGCCATCAAAAAACAAACCTCAAGGGTGGTGTTATGTGCAGCTATTAAAAACGGTACTAATCCATTGATTGCTACTGGTTGGGGAAACGTTCAGGCATTCCATTGATTTTACTGTATTTGCTCATTTAGTAGCAACATCCTTATAGCGGTGGTTCAGTTGTGAGCTCTAAATTGGCACAGGTCCCACGTATCCCACTGTCAGAGTGACTGGAAAACTAGTCAGCAGTTTATTCTGAGAATAAAAAAGAAAAGTGTGGGGCACAATAATGAAATAGGCAAAAAAGGGCAAAGGAAATTGAATCAAAACAGAAATGAGAGGGTAGCTGCATGTTACGCCTGCGTTTGTAACTGATGTGCAGAAATAATATGGATTGAAATCAGTTATTTATTTTCAGTGGCAAAAAGTATGTGTTGTAAGAACTGTGAAATGAATGCAATTGCCAATTAGCCCAGATAAAGCAGCGCTGTGGTCCTTGACCTGTGCATTGAGATGCAGTCATTTATTCCATTGAATTAGAGGAGAGGATTTTCAGAAGGAAGTACAGCTTGGGAGCCATGAAAGTAGCAGAACAGTACCAGGTGCCTGATGCTCATAGCAGAGAAATGCAAGAATGCGCAAGTCCAGTGACGGCTTGCTCTTGTGACCGCAATAAGAAATGATGTATAATAACTAGTTTTCACCGTTGTCCAGTAAAATTCTTTGTAAGTAAAGTTTTGGTTATGTAGCTTTGAAAGATCAGGCATGCAAAAATAGCGAGGCCGTGTTTTGTAGGTGAAGGATTTCCTCAGTAAAAGTAATTCCAGGTCAGAAAGCATAGCTGGATTTCTTGGATCCCAGCCCAGTGGCTCCACTCTCCTGGGACAACAGCTGGCCACGTTTCCTGAAATTAATCTGCGAGTCCATGTTATGTTTTACATTGTCCTGTTAACTGTCTCGATTAAAGATGCAGCCCAACTACAGCAGATTTTCTCAGTTTAATAATCATTGATGTTATTTTTTTAAAGTGGTAAGAAAGTGCATCTGTGCTGTGGCTTGAGTGGCTACAATTCTCACTCAGTGTGTTTTGATACCTTAGCGTTAACTGGAGTGAAAAGTCTGCAAAGGAGAGTGGGAGAAAAGTCAGGAGAGGGATTATTCTGAGCTGCTTTATTGCAGTGGCTGTAGCGTTTTCATGGGAGTTCATCTGGGAATGAGAGGGGTGAGTTTTACAAGTCTCTCCCAGTTTGTGTGGCTGATGTCATCTGCTGGAACAAACGAAGGAGAAAACAGGGACTAAGGAAGCTTTAACCTTTGTGAAAGCTAGCTAATTTCTTCTTCCTGTGGGAGAGCGGATTAAAAATCATGGTATTACATAACCTCTAGCCCCTGCAAAGGTTACTACAGCCTGGAACATTATCTAGCAGTTAGTAGTTATGAATGAGTTCCCTAATCCATTGATATGAATGTTTTGGCAGGCATTTGAAAACCTGCTTGTAGTCCAATGCTTTTTGATAAGACTGCCCTCCATCAGGTGTTAGTGACTGATAGAGGCTCAAGAGACAGCAGTTTACAACAGCAAAGACCTTTTATTACAAATAAGATAAAAAAGACTTATTACGTTTGTTGGGAAGGAGCCTTTGGGAGTTTTTGGAATTTCTTGTCAGTTGTTTGCCTTTTGTTGTAACCTTGTTTAGGAGGCCAACTAAAGAATGGGAAAGAAACACAGTTTATGAAATTTCAGTAAGTATAGATTTGCTGTTATGGTTTCACAATTTGTTATACCTGTATAATTTCTGTAATGCACATGTGAGCACGAGCTTTTTTTCTTCTAAAAGATGTTTTCTACAGTATTAACTCTGTTCCTTTTCCTTTCAGATAGGCCAGATTGCACATATGGAGAATCATGAAATGATTCAGTCATCTTCAAAGCAGGTGATTCAAGTATATTTGTTAAATGGTTTAATTTTAAAACAAAGCAGTTCGAAAGCTCAAAGCTTCTAGGGCTGTCAGGGGAACTGGTTCCTTGCAAAGCACCCAGTTTTGTTAATCTCTGCAGTTTCTATGGGATCCATTCTTATGGGGTGTTAATTGGCTAATGTTTGAGTAATTTCAGACTAGACAGGTTTCAGATTTTACCCTTAATACTGCTTGTCTCTGGCTTAAGCAGTACTGCATAGCAATTTAAAACCTTCTTTTTCTAGTATTTCTCGAGGCACTAATTTGGATGCTGCGCTAGTGGAGAAAAATATGGGTTATGCAAATTTATTGGGTATTTGTGAACAGCAGGTAGGATAGGAGCTTTCTCATTATCACCTTCCAGAATAGTCGGTGTTTCCAATCCTGTACCAGGGACTCGGCCATGTGTCTGTCTGCCCCGTTCCCTGTAGCAGCCTGTGTATTTTCAAATGTGCACGTAAGGCTGAGGTCAGACACGCTGTTCAGTGGTTTGAAAAGGTTGCTGTGACTCAGCCTTGCGTCATTGCTGCCTGCCTGCTGGAGATGGTCGTCCCATCCCAGAGCTGCATAATGTGGTGCAGTCCAAAAGTCCTAAATTCACATATTTGACAGGGGGGAAGTGCTTTTACGTGCAGCTTTGCTGTCAGACTCGAGGAGCAGTGATAAACAGCTGGCACTGAGATGGTTAGCTTCAAACGTGCTGCACAAGATACTGAAGTGAAACCGGTCCAGTTATGCATGTTACCCAATATTGGTCAGAGCAAGGAGGGGGGAAACTGGATGTCTGTTTACTGTTAATTATAAAGCTGTGGAGAGCTTAGTGTGTTAGAGCTGTGCTATATTTAAATGGTACCCCATCTGCCTGATGTTGCTATTACAAAATGTTCTTTGCCAAGATCATGGGATGAGCCTCTGCTCTTCAAAGCTGGTTTTGAAACTCCCAGTTGTTTTCCAGAAAAGTCGTTAATGTGCCAGGGCTATAGTATATTTGTCCTCGCTTTGCTGTGTTTAGCCATTCCAAAGCTGTTTAAAAGGGGTTCCAAACTACTGTGGGAAATAATGCTTTGCCACTAGTAGAGTGGACCTATTGCATTTCTGAAAGATGAAGCTATTATCAGTGCAGAAAACAGACATCTGCATGTTGCAGATGCTCAGTGTTATCTTTAATTAGGAGACTGTCACAGCTGAATTAAAAATAACAATTCAAAACAAAACCTCTTGTGAACTCAGTCCAGCCAGACTGACAGCTCTGGGCTTAACGCTTTACTTATCCCCCTGTAAGAGTTGGAGCCGTGGCAATTAACATCCCAACACCCTGGCGCTGGCCCCACAGAAGGGGCTGGAAGGAGCATTCACCTCCTGGTGTTGAGTGTGCTGAGACTTCCTGCCCGTAACTCTTGAGTTTTGACTCCAGATTTACCCACCGAGAGGGTCACTTAGCGATGGCGGTTTCCTGTAAAGTGCCTGTGCCTAGCTGGCAGCCAGACTGAAAATATCAAACTCATTTCATGCGGTCTCTGTAAGAGCTCTAAAATGTCAAGTTTTTGGTCCCCTTCTGCTCTGGACTGAACCAAACTCCGAGGGTTAGAGAGAGCTTCTTTATACGTTAATAACCCCACTTAATTAGCCGGCTCTGCTGTAGGACCTATCTTCTTAGTAAAGATCTCTTACAGTCATGCATAAGCTCTGATACTGGAATATGCTAATTTGTGTGAATCCCCCTGATTATTCAGCAGAAGAGTAGAATGTTCCTCAAAAGGACAGGCTTTGAAGATGGTTTCTTTAATTAAAAAAAAAAAGTCTTAGCCTTTCTTTCAGTTGTTGTCTTTGAGATAAATGCTCACAAAATAGGCTGTAATTTTGACCAGTGTCAAATTAAAAATTAGCTGGAGTGGATTGTTCTGAAACACACTTCAATTTTAGAACTTTACGCTCTCAAGGGCAGCCCTGTTCGGAGACCAAACACGCACCTTTCCTCTGCGCAAACACCTCATTATGCGTGTTGAAATAGGCATCTCTGCTTTTTCAGTTTTATTTTTTGTGGAATTTTCCCTTTTTTAAACTTCCCCAAAATATAGCTACACTTGCTGGCTAATTTTGCTGAAACATATGATGCTAGCCAAATGTTTTTGTGAAAGAATATTAGTCGCATAATGTAATGCAATATTCTTAGAAAGTCTTAGTTATTTATATGCTTGACGTGTAAAATGTTTATCCAGCCATGTAAACAGAGCAAGAGATGTCTTGCCAATGTACCATAGTAAGCCTTAGTTATTTTGAAATCTGGAGCGAGATGTTTTTCAGCCCTTAAAAATAAGGTGTCAAGTCCTCTGCTGACATAGAGGTAGTGCTAATGATTGGCTTTATCCAGCTGAAGTTTTAGCCCCCACTCCTGCCTCCCCAGAAATAAATTGAGATGTGCTTTCCTGAAGAGCTGCAATTGTGCTAAATAAAACTCTTCTGTTTACTTTGGTGCAGGATTAGTGTATTATTACTTGCAGAGTTTGCTAATGCGCATAGGCCTTATGTTTGTTTTGCTGCTTGTTATTATCTGTGTCTTAATGTGTATTAAACAACCTGTTTGCTTGATTTAGAGAACTTGGACAATTGTTTCTCCTGACAGCACTGCTAGTCTCAGCTTAGCTTGTGCCTCTGCTCATGGGGAGGCCCCCCGCCCCCGCCGCTGGGCAGGATAGCTGTAGCTTCAGTAGGTTCATCTCTGTTAGCCTCAAGCTACTTGTCCTGAGGGCTGTTGTGGTGAGATACAGCAATGCCTGGTGGGGATGCCAGATAGTTACCTGGCAGGTATCCCATGCCATCCCGTCTCGTACCAAAGTTAGTTAAAAATCTGTCCTGCCTCCTGTGTTGGGTTATGAAGCTTGAGCTTTGGCTCGTTCCTTGCTGCTGTTAGGGCCACGTCTTTGCACCATTATGGTCCAGCTGCAGCCAGTCGTCTTCCCCTCCCCATGGTACAGCCTACCTTCAGGTCTCGAAAGAGAGGCAGGGAGATATGTAGGTATAGCAGAGCTTATTCAGAGACATACACTGAACTCCTGACTGTGGTATAGGTGAAGCCTTTTTCAAAACGGGACGCTCTCAGCTTTAACTGTGTTT